AATCCGAGTATTCCCCTAGATCTTAGTTTACGAACCAAATTGGAAACGAAAAATTCATCTAAACTGCAATATAAAATAGGAATTTCATAGATTTCTCGTTTTTTCTAATTACTAACTCTAGGATCCAGTTCTTGAATGTGTTTAGTTTTGCTTCGATTCATGCATGCATTTGATAAGTATTCTAAAATTGATCTGACAATCATAAGCCCTTTGACCACAACAAAACTTTTGAGTGAACAAAGATGAAATCATTGAAACTGGTCGATTCAATTTGATTTTGTGCATACAAGAAGAAGCTAGAGGATCTCAGAGATCTTGAGCATTACTTTCAAATCTCTCCTGTGCATGTTTGTGACCAGGGATAATCGAGTGACTTTTTTGCTAAAAGGGACAGACTTATGTTAGGAATCAACGACCTGGACCTGCATACGTACTGATCTATCATAATTTTGTTGATTTTTCCTTGCAATTTCAGGTTGATACCCATGGTCCGTTTTCGAACCTGGCTGAACTCAAAACGCATCCTGCTCATCTTGCCGTATTTATCAACTACCTGCTATCCATAGATAGTCCTAATAGCTTGGTGGGTTGTTCGGTCATTGGTGAGATTTGAGCTCAGCAGTGATTGCACATTTTCATTATCTACAAGTTCACGTCTGTCTTTCAGTTCTTTTATGTGATAACGGATGCCTTCCAATGTGCTCAAGGATCCCCGAAAGACTTTCGTCGATGGGCGTTTGAAATTTTCACAACATTCGTCATCCCAAACTCTCCACTGGTTATACCAAATTCTGACCAAAGCATTATTCAGCCTATTGATAAGGTGATTTTTCGATTTGCATATCTGCAGGAATTGATTCATGAAGAAATACAACACTGTTAAGATCCTCGCTACAACGTCCGAACAAATTTGTGAAGGCGATGTGGATATACTAAAACGGGTATTTGTTCCTGGTCGTCAGCGTGCCGTCGCTGACATCAATGAACACATGGCTAATTTTCGGCAAAAACGGCAATTAGGTAGGAGATATCTTTCTTCAAAGTGAATTTATCTGTACGTTGACCCTTATTCAGGATTGGGGACCGTATTCGATGCCAATCAGTTGACACAGTTGGTTCGAGGGGATTCCGCTATGGAGCTTCGTGTACGCTTATACGTTACATCTTGATGTTTCTCTAGAAATACACTCTAATCAAAGCTGTTCAAGGTTGGAGAGCAAATGATGTTTCGAGCTCTGGAAGGCATTGTTGGTTCATCCGGTGATTTTGATGCGTGTGATATGAAGACGCAAGCGGTCATTGCCAGTCTGACATCACTTATAAGAGT